TACATATTTGTTATCGCGATATTACGCGTGTCGCAAATAAACAGCAAAACTATTACAATTATTTGTATGTTTCAAATTTTAATGCTATATTAAATTATTAACATTTAATTTCTTTTGATTTATTATTACGTTTATTATACTTTGTGACGTTACTCGTGTTACTATCTTTACTCTTTTACGAAACCAACATGATATGAGGAAATTTAAAATGATTATACGTTTAAAGAAAACGATGAAAACTCGCGGAAAAATGTTCTCCGAGTTCAGGAAATAAAATGATCCGCTATGCGGTTGCATTTTATTGTCGGCTGAGTTATTTCCTCATCTGGAATGATGAGAACGAGAGAAGAAGAGAATATTGCAAGGGGGAGCTAAAGAAGACACGAAGGGGTTGAAAAAGAAGAAGACGACCTCTTGCAATTAAACACGGCGTAAGTCCCGCTCTGAGGATAATGCCCTGGAATGCTGATAATTGGCTGAACCGTCCGGACGACCCGAGACGAAGGGCCCACAGGTGCAGCTGGCGGCACGGCATCGCGAGATCATCGGCTCGCGATCCCTCGTGTTTAATTGATTCGAAGTGATTTATATTATCTGCCGTTCCTCTGCACCTCCGGCATTCTCCGAGCACCGAAGCGATCATCAAAATACTCAGACGGATTGTTATTCGACAATGGAAAATATTACAAGATGCGAAATTGAACGGCCTTTGACCGTATGTAATTGTAATCAATTGTATTTCCACAAAAATTTTTGTTAAATACGACCGAGGTCTGCCTCAGTCAAAACATTAAAATCATTATATGTAAATATATATAAAGATAAAATATGGTTACACATAGATTACTCAGCAAAGCTATAACTATAGTAGTAGTAGTACAAAGCATAATTTTAAGACCGATTGCTGAAAATGACTGAAATTGGAAATTTATTATTAGAATCAAGAATTCCCTCTTTTTCTTTATTTCTTTTTTCTCCTTTTTGTGAAAAAATTGTTTACTGCATAAAGTTATAAAAAATGTGGATTATTCCACTGTGGATTAGTCTATTGTTTCCATCTGTTTAAAGTTATTTTCTCAGTTTGTACAAAATGCGGATTAGTATTGCTCTTCAATTAATGTTATTCAGAAATGTGGATCAGATGTCTAAAGTATAATTAATGCGCGGTAATTTAACAAATTACAATAATTTTCCTGATGTTGAAAATAAATAATTTCTGCTGTCAGTCGTGATTTTGGCAAGTATTTTTTTTTCTTTAGAGTTATTCAGATTCAGAACCGATTTCTTAATGGCGCCTCGAGGTCCGGAGGCTGCGAAAAAAAGAGCAGTTTACGGGACTCTCGTAAACGATCCGGCCGTGTGAGCTCGAAAGAGTTCGATGCTTCCGTCATGTTAAAGGGCCGATGCGTCGGTTCGGGCGAAGGTTGGAGTCGGAGATAGAGCGAGCGATCGATCTCCGCTCGTGAACGAAGAAGCGGTGAATGCGACCACGCCGGGAGCCAAGAGAGGAGAGCTAGCTGGGCCTCTCTCCCGCTCTCGAAGCTCCGATATCAGATCGCTCGTATAAAACTATCGTATCGTTTAAATACGCACTGAAAGGTGAGGCGATGCATCAGAAGATACGCGAGCGATGGCAGGCAGCCTCCTCTCTTTCCTTGGCCTGCGTCCTCCTGTTCCGTCCGCGCTGTCGATCCGCGCTGAAGATACCCGCCTGGAATCCATGGGAACCACAGAGAACCAGGCTTAACGCGTATAACCCCTCCCTGGCGTCACAGTGGGGCCCACCACCCAGACCTCTTGTGCCTCATCTCCGCGTTTCCCTTCGGCTTTCTACCCTCGATACATATATGCTCATTTTTTCTTTTTTGTTCGAGTTTCTTTCCTTATTTTATTGTTTTATGACAATATTGGATTATAAAGCGTATCATTTGGTTTAGAAATCTAAAGATTTTAACAGATTTTACGTAAGAAATTTTTATTAGATTAACATAAATCTATAAAATGTACGATAAAAGCACGACATAATAAAAATGAGATGTAAAAATAAAATAGTAAAAAGATAACAATATATATATTATTATTCTCTGGCGGCACACAACGCCTATATTATCGACATCACTGTTTATATTGGGATAATTGACAGAAGATCGCGCATCAAGTTTCTGAAAAGGATGAGATGCGATCTCGCGGCGTGATTTTGCATTGCCGATGCTTCGCTGCTCGATATTCACGATAGCTACCGATTCTGTTCTTCCCCTTTTCGATGGAATCCGTAATTGGGCGGGCATTCCACGTTATGAGTTAATTCCGGCGTGTTGGTATCGGCAGAGATCATATCGACGCAAAGATCGACACAAGACGATCTTGGTTTTCTCGACCGGCATTTCGCAATAAGATAAAATGAATGACGATATCGTCAGTTTAACGAGGAGACGGATTCCTTTTGGATTTTGCCTTTGGCTTCCATTATATGTATATCAATACGATGTTTACGTATTGATATGTAATTGAATATTTAAAAAATTAAAAATTATTTCGTTTTTTAGATCTTAATGATATTTGCAGTATATTATAAAATTATTATGAAGACAACAAGAATCTTGTTGGACCGTGATACACAACCAATAGGAAATAATGGAATTAAAGACCCAGCTTTGACCGTTATGGATTTTATTTCTTATTGGTTGGTGTATTTATATGAAAACGTTGGGTGTGTAATTATACAGAAACTTGAATGATTTCAGAATATAATTAACGAACAATTTATACATTCGCTTGTTTATAATTATCAAGATAAAATATAAATTAATCTTTAAACACATAATTATTATAATATGCATACATTAATTGTAATATATTAATTACAGTACATAAGAAAAATATTATTATTTAGAATAGTTTACAAAATTATTTCTCTAAAAATTAAAGAAATAAAATACATTTGGAGAGAACGCGGAAAGAGAAAGACAGCCTCTGGTTTTGCAAAAACCGGATGCTTGTAAAGACTGTATAAGAGACAATGACCGACCGCGGCCGGGGCGGTGGCGATCTTCCGTTTTGAAAAGGGGAAATTCCGCGTTGTGTGCATTGTCCGCTTAATGATTGAGTGCAGACATGACAAGTGAAACCGAATACACACACACACACACACACACACACACATCACGAGGAATTGCACCAGACGACCCGGGCGTGAGTCTCCGCGAGTCGCCGTCGTACACCTATTGCAGTCAGACAAGCGTGAGCCCAAATTATGGGACCGATGGGCGTTTACTCCTAAGACCTTCAACATTGACGATACCCCTTTTATACTGGCGAGCTGAACTTTTCGTATGGCCTATTGGCAATCGGCACCACCCACATCTCATGAAACTACCAGATAGAATTTGCAATTCGATATTTTTAGACGAGGGTTGTGTACGGATTCGAGGTAAAATGATTGAAAGAAGCTTAGAAAATTTGTTTTATATATATATATATATATATATATATACATATATGGGGCGTTCTAAAATCACTAATCTTAATTCTATAAAGACAAATTTTTTAATGAATTTAAAATAAATTTTTTTCTTAGGAAAGATATATTGAGGGTAATAATCGGTTATTGCACTTTTTATCGCGCAAAGTTAAATTTAGTGAAAATATAGTCAAACGCTGGTTATAAAGATATAGTATAATAATTTTAATATGTGTATAAGGTATGTATTAAAATTATATTATATTTTTAACCAGTATACACACACACACACACACACACACACACACACACACACACACATATATATAACAAACAAACTCAACTTTAGAGTTAGGTGATTTTTTAATAGTCTATATAATCATTAGAAATTCAGTGAAATCAAGACACTATTGAAATGTGTTGTAAATGTTCGTAGTTACAAATAGCAATTTCTCTCTCTCTCTCTCTCTCTCTCTCCATATCTAGAAAAAACTAAAGAAGCGTTAATCATGCATCATTCTATCGATTAATTGACATATACCGACTTCCTATATACGTTGCTCTATAAGTAATTATATTATTGCATGCATACTGTATCTAATGTTAAATTATACCTTCTATCGCTAGTCCATTCCATATTTAACACTCAGGTAACGATGCACAAAGATCTAGCAACTATATGAATTGGCAGTTTTCAATAAAACTATTCGCGATTGAATATTGTCGTAATTACAGATCTGCCTTCACAAATTAAGTAGTCTAGATTATTCAACCAACTAGATTATACAACCTCTATATAAGATGTGTTTTTATTAAGATATTACTTAAAAATTTCTAAAACCGAAGTCTAATCGGGAAGTAATCCGCTAAGTAATAATTTAGATTATTACCACTTTCTCTCTCTCTCTCTCTATCATTTACTTATTATATATGTATGTCACATACTGCATGTATTAAATAGATAAACAACCAATTACATATACATTAAAAATATTATTGCAAATATGTATATTTTTATTAGTATATATACATATGAAAGATTAAGTATATATCTCACATACTATGAAAACTATATAAAGAAGTGATAAATTTTATCAGAAGAATGTCACGAAATTATTTTATCGAGTCAAGTATTTTTAGGCAGATGTTGTGTGGAACGATATCATTAATTAATGTATTTCAAGAGTCTTCCTCTCTCTCTCTCTCCGGCACGCACGTATGTAAGAAGGTTCTAAATTGTCTTATTCGCCGGCTGACGCGTAATCCGATTTGTTTCTCGGGCAATCTGATTGCGCGCGACCTTCTTCAACTTTCCTCGCCTAACCCTTGCCGACGTTATCTTCCGACATCCTCCTTCGTTTGAGACTCCCTGCGACCGGGAAGATTCTTGCTGATTTTTTTATTACCACTCGCTTACCGCGCACATATGTGCGCCGGACGCGCCTCTTCTTGTTTCGCGATCGGTGATTTACGTTGCGGACCACGCTACCACGGTAATAGTCCATTAATTGATCTCGGATTCCCCTCCATGTGCCTGCAGATACGCGAGAGACGGGTTTCGTGAACGCCATCACCGCCGCTGGAGTTACTTATGCGGTTACCAGAGCCTGCACTATGGGTGACCTCGTGGAATGCTCCTGCGATAAGATGACGTCGAAGGGTAAAAGCTTACTCTCTCTCAGTCTTTCTTTGTGATTTAATCCGCGTATCGATTTCCCATTAATTTCGCATCGGAATTTACAGTAATTTATAGGCTTTTAAAAATCCATTAATACTGAAGTTATTATTACTTTTTTTTTTTTTTACATAAATTAAAAGGTGCATTTATACCTATTTTGAGAAAAATCGTAATACTAGCGTGACATTACTTTCGTAAGTTCTTCAAAATTGAAATATAAATGTGCGTAAATTAAAATTATTTTAAACGTCAAAAATTCCGAATTATATCATATTCCTCGCGATTAACATTTTAAAAATAGGAGGAAACGATTTTCGCAGGTAATCGTCTAGCTAAATTTGCTCGTACGGTCGAAGCAAAGAAAAGTTTGCCGACGGAAGGAGACTGGGAATGGGGAGGATGCGGCGATAACGTAAACTTTGGCTTTAAAAAATCCCGGGAATTCATGGATGCTCCGTATCGTAAAAGAAGCGATATTAAAACGTTGGTAAAGCTTCACAATAACGACGCTGGTCGTCTGGTAAGTTATTTTTATATTTATTCTCTGTTTATATTTCTAATTTTTGATACATGCATGCGTTTTCATTTAATTGATTTTATCGTCATGTTTTCATCACATACGTGATAATTAAAATTAATTTTGCAATCAATCTTGCGCACAATTATTCAACACCGGAAGAACCGTGTTCTGTTATGTATAAGATAATCTTCGAAATACTTTGCATTTTAAATCCAAATCAATTGTCTTCCAATTTCATTGTTCTCAATAACGTTTATCTTCAAGATTTTAGTAAACATTGTTTTAACAAAATTAAATGTTTTAATATCATTATAGTTAATAGGCTTTGTCTTAATGAGGACGCTGCAGTCAATACTTGTTTTAATTATTGAGTCTTTAATATATTTGGGCTTGATTTCTGTATATCTTTGTTAGAATGTAAAAATCAACAGCCTTTGTTAGAAAGATAACATAGGTACATATGTTTCTACCCGATGCGCTATGTACATTCGCTCCTTAGGCCGTACGCAACTTCATGAGGACCGAATGCAAGTGCCACGGGCTGTCTGGCTCCTGTACGGTGCGCACTTGTTGGCGCAAGATGCCGCCGTTTCGGGAAGTTGGCAACCGCCTGAAGGAATCCTTTGACGGCGCGGCCAAAGTCATTCCCAGCAACGACGGCCACAGTTTTATTACTGAGGGTCCCACGATCAAGCCGCCCGGTAGATTCGACTTGATCTACAGCGAAGATTCGCCGGATTTCTGCAAGCCGAATAGGAAGACTGGCTCCTTAGGTACGACAGGTCGTCAATGTAATTCGACTAGTCCTGGAGTCGAGGGCTGTGAGCTCCTCTGCTGCGGTAGAGGCTATGACACCAGAATCGTCAAGGAGAAGGTTAATTGTCAGTGCAGGTTCCGGTGGTGTTGCGAGGTCACGTGCAATACGTGTCTCGTCAAGAAGACTGTCAACACTTGTCGCTAGTGTCGACGTAAATGAAAAACTTATATCGATATATGACAGTGTCGAGAATCAAGTTAGTGCGATGGTTTGTCTTGTATGTGTTAGTGGATTAGAGTGAAAGTTAAGGAGACAATGCCGAGTGGAATGATTATATTCTTTGCGCAAGTCCTATTGACGTGTGCCATAACGATGGACTAGAAGATTGTAAATTGAAGAGTTTCGTAGAGTTTTAAAAGTTCTATAGAATTTAGTAGAGAATTGTGGTGTTAAAATACATTTTTAATAATGAGAGGAGTATTAGGTTCCTCGAACCTTCTCTCGTTTGTTTTTTTAATAATTGCCGAAAAACGGTTAGCTTTTATTAGCATTCATTGTGTTCTGAGATAGTTTAGTGTCGATGTTTAGCGCGATTGAAACTTTTCCACTTCTATCGTTGCCATCACTATCAGTGGTTGACTCAATCGTTTCTTTCTTCCGACACGTTCGTGATAATGCCCTATTACGTAATAGCATTTGTAATATATCAATTTCTATAATAGAATATGATTTGATCGTGAATATTCATGGACGAATATTCAGACGATATGTGATTTACAATTTATCGTGATCACACAGGGCTGGATTAAATCTAGGCTAGCGAGAAATACGAATGTAAGATTTCTGAAGAGATTTATTGTGCGTGACGTGTGTAAACGCGAGAAGTGGGATTAAGGATGTCAGTAGTGCATGCGCGAGCCAAGTCAGACGCGAGTCGCGAATATAGCTAGATGGGATTTATCGTGTTTTACGAAAGAATATATATCGTTGACTATATATCTATGATTGTAAAACTAGATATTTTGAACGCGTATATTTATTTTTATATTTGACACAAAGCGTGGCAATTATCAACGCTGGCTGTATAGATTGTGGTAAGAGATTTTTATTGTTGTAATCAGGGCCGGTTCTAGATGCTTGTCGCCTTCTAGACTTTTGTTATGCGCGATATGAGATTGCTATTTTCTTTAAGCTGATAATATAATACAAAGAATTTACGTTACATCATATGTATAAAAATGTTTTTCTTAACAAAATATTATACGTTTGAATTATCTTAACAATAAGTATTGTTGAGAAAAATATAATAATGGAAATCTAGTTTTTATGCGTTTTTGTATATCTTTTGATAAAAACACGTCGCTCTGACAAAGCCTGATGGACTTTCTGGTATGTAGAATCGACTCCATGTATAGTTGTTATTAATATCGCCTACGCTTTCTCTCTGCGCAAGGCGATCATGTTTCGGGCTTTCCACGTATCTCCAGTGCTCGTAATACATATTAAGATATACATAAGATAACGTAATGAATTTACGTAACGCATATTTGTCAAAGTTGTCGCACCGTTATTCATATAGCAATGCCTGCTTTTCTGCTTAAATCGCTGCGACTTTGAGCGAAGTCCCAAGTGATAAATTCGATTTTAGAGCATCGGAAATAATTCAATGGTATCGAATTGAATTTTTGTACAAACTTTCTATTTTATTATATCCAAGAAAGAACTCGGGACTTTGCTTTCGTTTCACGCGTATCTAATTACACTGCTTTCCCTTCGCGTGACATAAGCTTGTGCCATACGTTACGATTCGATCGATCAATATTTACTGCGCGTCTATTGAGATATACGCATTTTCTCGATTTTTGGATAAATACTTATAAATTTTTAAGCTATACCTCGTTACAGAGCTTATTTTTCTCGTTTGTGTATATAAGACTGATCTATTTAGGTACAGATAAAATTATACTCACGGATGAATCTCGTTTGTTATTATTAAGATTGATCAATTCATCTGCAGTGACGAGTTATCTTAGGATGAAAAGAACAAATATATAAACAATTGTATTTTAAATTCCAGTTTATTCAACCCAAGTTTATTTCAAATGAATTATTCTCTATGTGATCTCCTTCACATTACTGAGGTAACAGGTAAGTATTATACATTTTTTTATTTAAAAATAATATATTGTGTATAGGTATACGATAATAATATGTGATTATTTCAGTATATAAAATATCTAACAAATACCTAAATAATAACTATTTTTATTTAAATGTATATAGAAGACAATTTGCGAAAGTAATAAAAGTTTGTAAAGATTTGCATTATATAAAATTATTCTGTTTGCACATTATAGTTTTATTGTTGACGTTAAATATTCACTTAGTTTACTTTTCTTTCATTCTTTCTTATTTTAATGGTGATTATTGTTTGAATAGGATACTCCAAAATTTTTGTTCAAACTTGGAATAAAAAAAGAGTGCTAAAAGATTAATCTCGAAAGATGTTTGACACGTTCTCACACGACGAGGAATTTTTTGTCCCTTCGTGCTTGGAGATGTGATAATAGGGATAAATTAAGGAAACACCGAGAATTAGGAGGCCTCGTATATCAAGGCGCCGTGTAGAACACGGGCTTTTACCTGTAATTCAGGTTTATACACGACAGTCACACGGGCAGTAAAAAGGACTACTGCCATTTTTTGTAAAATAGTTTTACGGCCACCATCAAGAGGAATTTCGCATAACCATAAAGGTTACCGAAGGCTCGCGCCATATCGCGTGCATCCATCGTTTCTCGGCGATAGCGGAAGCCATAAACTGAAAAAATTTCTTTCCCTTGTTTTATTTCATTTTTATATTTTCCAGTCTGCTGGCGCGACAGTTTGCCTGATTGTAAATTTTTGAGAATTAACAGACTTCATATTTTTATATATTTTTAATTCATAAATGTGTATTATAGAAGAATACTTGCGATTAATATTGAGCTAAATTAATAAGCATTAAATATTGATAATGATTGTTTTTTCGATGTTTATTTTAATTGAATATTCAAAACAATAAATAATTTTAGCAGGAAACAGCTTATGAAACTCATGGATTTCCTTTTTGGAAGAATATTTTATTTAATTTGTGATTTTTTAAAATTTTAATTAAAGTTTTTTTTGTGTATATAATTTATTAAAATATATATTTTTATGCATTATATACAGCATTCTTTAAATCGCAATCTAACTGGATATTTACAGGACGTTTCCTGCATAATATCACGAACGTCCAAGATTACTTGATCAACGGCGATTTACCACCAACGGTTCCATACATTCCCACACAGGCTACTCTTCCCTCCCCCTCCTAAAAAAAACCCTCTTTAAAGAAAAGACTCTTAGAGAGGCGAGCTTACACCCTCCAATTTAATACGTGACGCGGCACGGCGCGGCGTGCGAGCGCGTCCGGATAAAAGTCTCTTAATAGAGAGGTCGATCTCTCGGAGGTACGAAAGTGGTGAGGCGCAATTAGCCCCACCAAGGGGGACTGTCTGGACTCGATTAGCCCATGGCCAGGAGATTGGTCTGCCGCGGGACGACTGGGTGGTCCGAGCGGGGTAATTTTCGGCTGCCGTCGACGTTCCCCTTCGGGGGAAAAATGGCCCCTCGAAATTGGCCCTGGAGTTACCGTGTGCCGTCAGTCCGCGACGCCATTTTTAGAATCTCCACCTTGCCCTCACCGTCCCCTCCTTCCGTATTTCTGATCCTTGTCTCCCCGAGGCCGAGAACGGAGACTCCTCCAGAGAAAGAGGAGAGGCCTCCCGGTAATTCAATTTTAGGAAAAAAACGCGGTACACCGGTTATTACGCGCTGATGAAAACATTGGATCATCAGGAACGGTGTGAGAATGCGGTTTTGGTCTTGGTTTTACCATCAACTATCAGAGAGGACGAAATGAAATGATATAATTTTATATGATATACAATAATTTTATTGATTTATTTAATATACCAGGCATTAAGAAAATCACCGCGATAATTATATAGAGGGGAGTTAATATGTGAAAATTATTTTATCCTTCTTTTAAGAGATATTTCATAAAAATTAAGATGGAATCGTGAGACTTTTAAAATTGCGCTAATTAAGGTCTGGATTAATTAAGTCTAGTTTGGTATTTTTTGCTTATCGCGTTCTACCTGATGTAGACAGAGAAAACCAGAAAACAAATATATTAAGTTGAAGTTGTAGCTCTTAAGTGAACCGGACTCGAGACCGCACTTCAGATGGAGTGTGGAAGATGGGCTCTCGCAAAACGCACATACGCGCGCGCGCGTGCGAGTTTTACGTACGACGGGAACTCTCCCACGGCGTACGACTGTCCGACACCGTTCCCGGAACGATTAGGCGCGGAACAATGGAGCCCGCGGAACGCACGTGGGTCGTGACGCGCGACAAAACCGCAAAATGCGACCGTGATTAATCGGCCCTGGCCGCCCTCTTCGCTCGCGCAAGAACACGTCGTACTACGGGAACACGCCGTACTGACTCTATTTTCTTCTCTCCGAGGCCTCATGCCTCACTCGAGCAACCCTCCCGCGAGCGTGCGCTTAATGCGCGAGCACTCGCTCGTTCCACGTCTCTCTGGGAGCCGATGATAAATTTCCACGACAACGAGCGTCCGTTTGTATCCTTCCTCGCGCCTCTTGGCTAGATGCAGCAACAGCTCCGTCGCATCTTTCGTGAATGTTCGTTTACTGGATGTAATACGGAGGCAACGTTAAAGACTTACAACGCGAATCCAATGATTATATATTATATTATGTGATTCGAAACTACATTTGAGACTTTAAAATGCAGATAATATATACGTTACATTTTTTATGCACTTACTTTTTATTGAAATATATGAGTATATTATACACACAATATATGCAAAAACATAATAAAGTTCAGATGTATGTATAAATGGAATTCTAGTTAAAATGGACGAATTAGAATTTTTTTATTAACTCTACTAGAATTCTAGTTGAGATAATTGAAATTCTGATTGTGATATAATTAGAATCTTCTGGTTCGTTTATTTTTAGCCAGAGTATCTTTAATTATTAGTTAATTTAAAAATGCTCCCGTTCTTAGTAGTAAATTCATAATTATAGAAGAATAAAGAAACTATGACAGTAAATATTCTTAAGCTATGTCACTCTTTCTAAACGGAG